TGTGTCAAGTGCCGTTTCCTCGTGGAAACAGAAGCTCTAGTGCAGGGAGTATTCTTTACCGCTGTCCAGCTGGCAGGCTGCACAAGTACTTTCCAAGCTTTTATTCTAGTTTTTCCTTTAGTTTCTACTATAAGGTATGTGCACGCACTGTAAAGAGTCACAGAGAGAGAAAGTGAGAACTCACCCCCCAGAGGGATGGCCACGTCGTAATCCTTCCCCTCCGGTCTCCTCTTAGGATCTTGGGCACCCATGCACATGCGCTGGGGGTGATTTTCAGGCCGCTGGGTCTTGACTTCAAATCGCACAGTTGGCCATGAGGGATCCAGCTGCTTTAACCTCCACACCGCTTGCTGGCCCAGTACTTTGCAAATTTTAACTTAAATAGTAAATAGTAAATGTTAAGTAGCTAATCAGTGTGTTTTGTTAATTTGTGGTAAATAATCCAAACAGAAATAATATAGGAGGGAACAGCAGATAGTATAATGGTTACGCTGCCAGGCTCCCATGCAGTTAACTGTAGTATGAGTCCTGGACCCGGCAGTTTAAAACTCACACCAGGCACGTGTGCATACATGCCCAAGATCCTGAAAGGAGAATGGAGGAGAAGAGACTGCAGTGTGGCCATCCCCACAGAGGTGATTTCTCGCTTTCTGTCTCTCTGTCTCTCCAGCGAGTGCACACACCTTACACAAAAATCTCTCAAATAATGATAATAATAACATAGGGGGTTTTCCTAAGAAAATGTTTTAAAATAAAGCACCTCACTGCCAATGTTGAGAGCTGGGTTCAGTGATGCTGCATGGAATCTCTATAAAGCAGCTCACATTTACATGTTAAAACAACAAAAACAGGGCCAGCAGTTGGCATGATGGTTAAGGTGTTGTACTCCCACACAGCCGACCATAGCTCAAGTCCCAAACCTGGTGGCTTGCTTTCTCACTTTCTCTCTCACTGTCTCTCTCTCTTTCTGGTCAAATTAAAAAAATAATAATAATGATGAATTAAGTTAAATAATTCTTTAAAAGCAAAATGAAAAACAAAAGCACACACTCTTACGGGAATACTTCCCTCCCTCTAATCAAATAGCTCCCAAACAAGGGAAACGTGTTTCCCTGCTGCATCCCTCCTGGAGTTCCCACCCCGTATCACCAAGCACGAGAACCACCAGCTGCAGTAAGGAGCGCGGTGGAGGAGGGTGGCAGGTGCTGCCGGACACGGGGCTTGGGGCTTGGAGCCTCCGGCAGAAACAGCAGGAAGCGCACTGACTGCTCGGGCTGGCTGCCATGAGAACTTGGGTTCCCCTGAGTCTACGAGGTTGCCCGGGCGTTAATTATAAAGAACTAGCCTAAGACTAACTTACATTTCAGGGGAAGTTACACTTCGAAACTCAAAAAACCATTCTTGGCGTTCATCTCAGGAGCTGCAGATGAGTTAGACCCTGAGGCAGGCAAACAAACTAAAAACAGCGGGACCAGGTCCTGGGAGGGGAACGAAGGAGAATGCTGAGAAAACAGGCCAGGGCGGGAGAAAACAAGGCGGTCACAGAGGACTAGCTACGGCGACGTCTGAGGGGCAGAGGGTGGTGTCCCAGGCACTGCACTAGCCTACAGTCTAAGTCACTGGGAAAACGGTAGTAAGAGAGAAAAGCAAAATGAACCAGCGAAAAGATTAAGCTGTCGTTTTTAGCACAGCCCCAAGGGGGTGGGGGAGTGCTCACACCTGAGTTCTAATACCTGACTTACAAGGCTACCATAAATCACGGCCAGCCCTCGCCGCTGCACGGCCGAATCAGCATCACACACGCTTCTCTGGCTCCACAGCCTAAAGGAACCCGTGGGCCAAGTGTCAGCTCAGGAAGTTTGATAAGATCTCACGAAAAATGACAGGCTTTCAGAGCCCGGGGCTCTTTCTCTGCTTTGAAGGAGCATTACAAAGCGCCTTCCCAGTAAAGACACGTGTTCCTGTAAAACATGGCTGGCTGGGCGCGGCGGCCAAGGCAGGTCAGGTGGGAACACCGGGGACAAGCCTCCGCCCAGGGCTCAGCCCAGAGGGGAGAACTTCTGACCACGGTCCCAGCACAGGCTCCTGGGAGAGGGCTTGGTCGAGCTCCCCACAGTTTTCTGTTACAAAGCTGATACCAAAAAGGTCTCATAAGAAATTCCAGGGCCAGCAGGTGATGTGGAGGTTAAGGGATTGGATCCCATGTGGCTGACAGCGTGGCTCAAGTCCCAGACCTGGAGGCTTAACAAATAGGCCAGGTACACGTGCATGTGTGCCCAAACTCCTGAGAGGACAAGGTACTGCGGAGTGCCCATCCCCCGGGGGTGATTTCGCACTCTCCCCTCATCCCATGAGTACAATCGCACTATGGAGAAAACTAAGAAAAGTCAGTCAGCATTAGTCTAGAGAGCAGTTTCTCATCATCGGGCTTCGATGCGGTCCCTCATTCACGCTGAAGTCCCCACTGTGTGGAACAAAAAGCCCATCCTAAGATACAGACTCAGAAAATGAGAAGTGAGTAACGGGGCCTCCTCCAATCTAAGACAATATACACGTCATACGAGATATAAAGGAGACAACTAAAAATGTTTTAAGTGATGTTAATAACTTAGAGTTAAGATGTCTAAGGCTAACTGAAGGTACCAAGATACAAATCTGTATATAAAATACAACTTGACACATATAACATAAACACTAACTGACACACAGCACACCTAAATATAATAGTTACAGTATGATGAAAGTGGTTTTTTATGCTCTGTAAAACACTCACAATAACTAAGAATATGCACACAGTTCGCATAATCCAAAGAGCTGCGTCCGTTTCTGTAAAGGGTTACTTTATAAAATGCAGAAAATACCAATGAGCAAAGTCTCATCCCCATTTGCTAGCTCTTCTTGGACTTGGAGATGACACTGTCGCCTGCACCATGGCTTCCGGACTGGTCCTATGTGATCCATTCTCCTGTGGCAGCGAAAGTAATCTTTCCAAAATGCAAATGTGATCCTATGGCTCTCTGCTTACCGTACCAGGACTGCCTGCCCTACGTCCCACACCGGCCTGCAAGACCTTCCTAGTGCAGCTCCTCTGGCTATGCTCAGCCGCGTGCGCTGCATGCTCTGTTCACCTGCTTTGCACACGCTACTCCTTCCATGGCCAAGACTGTTCTGGGCCAGCAGGTGGCACAGCGGTTAAGGCAGCTGGGTCCCACATGGCTAAGTGAGAAGTTCGAGTTCCAGCCCAGTGGCTTAAAAAACACGCTGGGTGCATATGTGTGTGTGTGCCCAAGAGGAGAATGGAGGAGAAAGGACTGTAGGGTAGCCACCCCCCGGGGGAGGGGGTGATTTCTCACATTTCTCTTTGTCTCTCTGGTTTTCTCTGGCAAGCACCCAATGGCAAAAATAAAAAAAAAAAAAAAAAAAAAAGATGCTTCTCCTGTTCTGGGCCTCAGTGCCCCCCAACTCTTACACCAGATCTACATAACCACACTTGGGTGTCCTTGGAAGTCACTCCCTCGGGGACACTTTCTCTAAGTCTGGAGCCACGTCCCCTCAGGTCTGCAGGGGAGGTTCACCAAGTACCCTTCCTTCCATTACAGATTTCAACGT